ACAAGTGGATAGTCTGGCTAGTCTACAGAGTGACCAGTCATAGTAGGATGTAATCCTTTCAGACCACGCAGATTCGGATGTATTGTTACTTGGATATCTGAATACTACTTCTGCAATAAGCGACTGTTTACATGGATTAATGTTTGAATGTAAGATAGTGGCAACTTGTGTCAGGCGTACCAATAGCATCTGTACGATAAGAACGACCAATCCTGCTCAATTGATATTACTGATTTCCTTGAAACTTTACCAGTATGTAGCTTTCAGTGAGATGTGAAAATGCCGAACATCTCAACTTATAAAACCGTTCCCTGGTTTACACATTCAAACTACAACAGAGGCTGTATCTAGCATCATGATTCAGATTCCTGTTAACAACGACTTTTCGATCAACACTTAGTTCAAAACTATGAGTTCCCATCTAGAAATTGCAAAATTTGCTGGAATAGGAAACGAGAAGAGCCGAATATTCACAGTCAACGACAGATTATATCCAACCCTGACAGACGAATGAAACAAATCGTCCATCGAATCCTAGTATTATATTCTTGTTTCTATGATTCGATACTTTTCATAAATTTTTTCAGCTGAAATCAGCCGTACATCATTCGTCTGTGTATAAATTGCATTCCTCTGAATTGTAAAATATCATTTTTCATTAATATACAAATGCAGTGAAACTTCCAGGATTCGTACAACTCATCGTCTTAATTATTTTGTTTATAAATTTTTCAAAGATCGACCCGATTTTCACACAGATTTACGTCAAATACTAACAGTGTATTTTTGTGTAAAATTGGGGATGTAACAATATCAATACTTCCGATACCAACACCGTTTTGATGTTCATCGGTATTGGTATTGGTATTGGTATTGGTACTGGTAGCTTGCCAAGAAAATTCAACATGAAAGTTTCGAAAAACCGACTATGAATTCTTGCTTTTATCGTCGAAAATAAGATACTTTTCGAAAATAACGATTGTTTTGAAAGTTTGATTAAAGCTTTTCGGGAACGAGCAATCGGGATCTATACTCGGTTTTTGAAAGTTTCCGGCTTTTATTTTTCCTGGCAAACTACGAACATCAATACCAATGATTCCAATACCGTATTGATATCGTTACATCCTTACATAAAATACATTATTTTGCAAACAATGGAAAAAAATTGTATCGTTCTCCAGAAATATGTAATTGTTTACTATAATCTACCCAAATTAGAAAACCAATAACATATTCAGATTCCTTGTGAAAGGCTGCATCGGAATATTTACAATTCTGGAGGATTTCTAAACTGACTATGCTACCATCAAAACACATTCCCTTTTTCTAACTGAATTTTGTGATGTACTTTCCTTCTTTCATGTGTCATACCCAAAACAAGTGATCTATTAATGAAAACATGAAAACTTTTCAGATATCTAAGAATTCTGGCGCAGTTTTTCACGAGGATTCCGACTATGCTATTAGTTTTCTAATTTGAGTAGATTACAATGGATACTTACCCATCTGTTGAGAAAGATACAGCTTTTTTCCGTTTTTTTGCAAAATAATCCATTATATGCAAAAAAAAAGACTGTTAGTATTTGATACATATCTTGATGAGAATACACTCTAAAAGGAATCAATCCAACACCAAACTCTTTTAAGTTTCGGAGCAGGTTCAAAACCTATAAGGGTTCTTCCTGAGGATAGGATACAAAGTCCGAACCTTTGCTGCGAAACTTTTATAAGATTTGTAGGATGAAACGGGTTAGATATGAAAGATACAAAACCATTCAAGTTCGATGCAAATCCTTCGAAGTTTAGTATAGATTTCTTGGGACTTACTACGGATTCTATAAAACGTCGTATCAAAATTGAATGGTTTTGCATCTTTCATATCGAACCTGTTCTTCATCTTACAAATCTTATAACGGTTTCGTTGCAAACGTTCCGAGTTTTTATTCGCAGAAAAAATCATTGTAGGTTTTGAATTTGCTCCGAAACTTAAAAAGAAATCGGTATTAAACTGATTGTTTTAGAATACGGGCGGGCGGAGGGGGGGAACTCTTAAAAAATTTAAAAACAAAATGATCAGAGCAATGAGTTCTACAAATTCTGAAAGTATCATTGAATTTAGATGTGGTTGCCGCGTTGGCAGGCGACATTTCACAGATGCGCTAATTCAATACTTGCGAGCTAAAGCTAGTGTAGCAAATGGCCACGATGAGACGGAATTCAACCAAAATGTCCCAATAGTTCATCTCTCGCCATTGTCGCAAAAAGGTTCATATCTCAGTAAATCTTTGTATGCACTACACTGCGGATAGTGATTTCTTAGTTTATAGTAATCTTACTAAGGAGTATACATAGATATAGTATTACAATAAAAAAAAAGTTCACCTGATACATTCTCTTGTTGATAACAAATCGGAAAGTGACCTTTATGAATAATAAGAACGAACTTTGCACAGTATTTTGTACATCCACTGTTGGTTTTCCAGTAAAACTATTATTATTCTCGTTGGAATAGCAGTACTGGATCAGTCCTCAGTATTACTATTTGAATGAAACCTCATTTCCTACACTTTTCATTTAAGTTTTCGACATCGAAGGAGATTTCTAGCTAGCATGAAATATTACGTACCTCAGATGAATATTGGTTTATGTACAGTGTTGACTAACCAGTATACTTATACTCTTACTGAATGTGTGTACCTTTTGCATGATTTATTATCGAACACCGTACGTGCCTTTTAAAGTTGTTTTATAAAAAGATGCATAGTTGACAAGACACGAAAAACAAAAAGATGATGCATAAGTAAAATTACATTGTATGCGTTGTATTTCTGCCTGAATTTCTACTTCTTAGAAAGAGAGCGAGAAAGAAAAGGCAAAAATATGTCTGGCTACGCCGCAACCTATGCATCTGATCGAAAATAACAAGACCTATATTCAACATCGATGTATAAACTCTATTCAAAAAAGGATATGAAAACAAGACTGAATTTTTTTCGTCTCAGTTCTCCTGATTTGTCAAGCTTATGACGTTCTTTTTCTGCCGCTTGTCATTATATTAATTCTCGAAAGATATATTTAAAATTATTTGAGGAAAATTTAAGTGTTGAATTTTGTAGAGCCACACTTACTATCTTTTGACATATTAATTAATTCGATTGAATTGACTTTTACGACGAAAAAATAAGCATGTAATAAGCACAGATGAAAACAACAAAACTTGATAATTATTTTCAGAGCTTTATCGGCGCATACACTCAATGTTTCTTTCATGTTTACTAATGTGCGATCCGATTTGTACCTCTTACAAATCTTGTAATTTTGTTCAATCATCTATTTCGTTTGATTTTCCTATTTTATTTTATTTTGCCCAAAACATGGGAAATGCTCAGAAGTGTGTCATTTCTATTCCATGTAAATTTTACTCTTAAAGGAAACTTTATACAGTGTATAGTTAAATTTCTCAGTGTCACTTCCATAATAGAAGGAATCGCTTAACATAGGAAAGCTACAGATGCTATCGGATCTGTAAGGCCAATCAATGTTTTGCAAATATTCTTTAATCCTTTTATATTCGCGTAGATCTGTTCTATATACATACAAGTAATCAAAAAACACTATTCGAATGACTGAAGGATGTGGGCGTGGGCGTGGGTGTGGATGTGGATTCCTAAATACGACGCAGACACCCACACCCACGCCCACACCCTATTTTGATCTGGATTTTGAAACTTTCCAACATAATATTAAGTTATGATTTAAACTATATAAAATTATTAAATATAAATGGTAAAATCTTTAAATATGGTAAAGCTATTTAAATAGAAGTTATTCGTATTAGATATCATAATATAGTTTAAACTATAGTAAAATAGTAATTTAAATATAACTATAAACAACGATTCAAATATATAAAATTTTATACAAAAACACAGCGAAAATTTGAACTAGTTTACCAAAATACAAATTCAATCCACTATACAAATAAGAAGTAAAGATTTGAATTATACAATTACGATGGAAGGCGCATTAGTAAAAATAAATTTAATTAATCGTACTTACAAGACTATCTACAAAATACTAATTTGACCCATTCTTTTCAATTTTTAATTCTATACATATGCTTCCTCCCCCTTCTTCTGTTTTCACTTTAACTTTAAATTGTAAATTTTTCTTTTTAATTATTATTTTCCTCTATTTAATTAACTTTCGTTTTTTTGCCTATAATTGTAAATGCAAAGGCCTGAGAAGTGTTTCAATATATTAATAAAAAAACACGAAACGCGTCGGCAAAATCAACTCTGCATTTATTTTAAAGAAATAATTTGAATTCAAGCATATTTATTTTAAATAGTTTATAGTTGTTGACACAGAAAATCGGTTGCTCAAAAGCAAGAGTTGAGAGTAGCAGATTGATTTATATTTCAAAAATATATAGGTCGATCTGTTGCATATTGATTTAAGTATAGACTCCTTTTAACTTCATTTTGTTTGAGATTCTATCTTTTTCAATACAGATTTAAACTATTCCAAATTTACCTGATGATGAACCCTTAAGCAAGGTTCGAAACGATCGTCGTAAGTAGCTTGGAATCATCTTATATACACACCCACACCCATACCCTATTGTTTGGAAGTCTTCTGATTGAAAACTTTCGAATTTTTGTTAATTATATATAATATTAGCTTTGGAAGTTTTTATCTTAAAAATTTCGACTATATTATATCATAGTAGGAGATGTGCTCTTAACAACTTAATATCGTTAAGCAATTGATAATTGATTACCCTAGCAGTAATCGAAACCGGTCTTGCTAGCTTTTTGATTTGATTTTCGAATCATTTCTATCGACAACAACACACCCACGCTCGCCACGGAGCCATCAGGGTGGTTTCTGGTCGCGCGCGCGTAGAAGAGAAAAAACCGAGCAATGAATTTGAAGCGATACTGTTTATTTGAAATGAAAGGAAAGCGTAGAAATAAAAGCAATCAATCGTTTCAAGTTCATTGTATAATAAAACGCTGAACACGATTATTCTCATTGTCGACGACATAGAGATTACCTTGCTGATCGAAGGACAAACCAATGGGGCAATCAAACTGATGTGCTCCTGCTCCCGAACGATTTCCACCCGCAATGACAGCCTCTTTATCTGCTTCCTTGGGCCAACGCATCACTCGATGATTCCCATAATCTGCCACATAGACAGTACCCGACTTATCGACGAAGAGTCCCATAGGATACAACAGTTGTGTCGAAGAAACCTTCGAGGCACTACCTCCAGCGACGACATATCCTGTTTTTTTATCTTTAGTCCATTTCATTACACGATGATTCTCGTTGTCTGACACGTAGACATTTTGTTCTTCATCGACAAAAATGTAAGTCGGCTCGTTGAGTTGATGGTGACCATCACCTTGTCCTTGTCCACCCGCCACTATAGTTCCATTCTTATCTCCTATACGATATCGTCTGACTTCATGTTTTTGATCATCAGACACATAAAGATATCTCTTGTTATCCATAGCCAATCCATAACAATCGATGTTGTCGATAAGGATTTCTCCCTGAGTTGTGCCACTACGAAGAGACCATCGTACAACTCGTCTATTCCCCCAATCACTAATAATGAGACTGTTAGTCTCTTTGTCGACTAAAACATCAGTTGGACGAACCAATTGATCCAATCCATCTCCATGGTCATTGCCACCTGCTACAACTTGTCCTTCAATATCATATATCTTCCATTGGATGATACGATGATTGCCCGAATCAGCAATGACCATTGTTTCATCATCATAAAAGAAGAGACCATGAGGGTTGTTGAGTTTATTGGGGGCATCGTCTTCGCTTTCTTCATCTTCATCTTCGTATTCTTCCTCATCTTCGTCTTCGTATTCGTCCTCATCTTCTTCCTCATCTTCGTCTTCGTCTTTTTCCTCGTCTTCTTTTTCGCCTTCTGTGTGTCCTGCGCTCCATCCAGCAACAGGCCTATCGTCCTGATCCCACTTGGCCTCAGGACGAATACTAGGAATGACTACAATGAAGAAGAGACAAAAACAGAGATACTTAGTGTAAAATTCATCAGATTAGAATTCGTTTTTGTTTCGTTAATTTTCTATGGAAAAATGAAAACTTAGAATTTGTATCGAAAATCTATATGCTAATGCACATTTTCATAAGAATTTCAAGAAACTTTTTTGCATTTATTTGTAAACAGAATGATTTTTGAAATGTTATGTTCATTTATACAGGAGAAAGATTGAAATGCTATCTGTGACGCTAAATATATCATCTGAATTGCTAGATGTTGAATCTCAGCTAACACTAATTCCATTCTGTGTCCATGTAGCATTGACTGAACTATATTGAAAATTACTACAATGAGCAGGATAGAAAAAGATATTTAGTAACGCTCACCATATCAGAAATCTTTTTCTTTTGTAGTTTTCTATGGAAAATGTTCTTGATTTTGAAAAGTACATCTAGAAATTGCAATAATCTTAATGAAGTAATGAACTCAATTAGATCTTGAAAAAGTGAAAATTAGAATTTCTACTGAGAATTTTTCAATTAGCTTTTGAATTGCATAAATATTGTCATGCATATTTTTTGGGGCGTTCCGCGTGTTTTCTTTGTAGTTATTGTATTTATTTGCAAAAAAGAACAGAATTTTTGAAATTTCATACTGATTTTTACATACAGATATCTAAATATTCTCTATTATGCTCGCCTACAACTTTGAATTCTACAAAAAAAGATTTGGTATTTTCTAAAAGGTTTATAGATTGAAGAAACGTTTGTTTCGGCTTTCTTAGTGAAAAGGTTTTTATAGTAAAATATTGCGAGTTTATCAATGTCTTTCCTGTACTCTAAGAGATTCATGTCGACAAAATTTAAAATAAATTTTGTCTCGTTTTAGATACTTTGTTTATTTTGTAGAATAGATGGTTTAAATAAAAATTAAATTACAACTAATTTTTCTAATATGATTATAGAAATCATCTGTTTACATTCATTAAAGCATTCTTATTCCGAAACACTTTATTTTCATTAAATTTATTTTTGATTGATGAAGTTTATAGAGATTATTTTTTAATGAATAGTGAATCTAAGAAAAAAAAATTTTGATCGATTTCACACATTTAAAAAAAATTTCTTCATTGTTATTCACTATTTTATGTTCCTTAGTTTAAAATTTCTTATCGATGACATTGTTTATAAAAGTAAACTATGTTCAGTAATAGTTTGTCACATTACTATATGTATTATAGAAAATAATAAAAAGACAAAGAATACAAAAATATAATTTTGAATTTATAACAGCCATAATGGAAATGTGTTCCAGTTTATGATAATCAGACGTGTGTTCTACATGAGCGAAACGATATATGTTTTAAAATGATTTACAGCTTCAAAGTTCAACAAATCTCTATTTATATTAATATGACATTTATACAAGAAAACAGGAGTAAGCTAACTCGATCGTTTTTGTTGCAAATTACAACTCAACTAAATACAGTACCCGACAAAAGTATCCCCCCTCGAATCTCAGTTGCAATATGAGGTGTAGTGCTGAAAACTAGTAAGCACATAGTTCTCAAAGAATACTGATGATTGGCACCTTCGACAATACGATTACATGAAGTATAAGAAAGTTATAATGGATGTGGCCTGTCCCCATTATTGATTTCATAACTCATGAGTGAAAAGACTTTATAGATTGTGGTCGATTTCATTTTGTACTTCACGAATTTGGCTACCTATAGCAAACGTTTCATTGGAATTCATTGAGTTATTATGGAACTAAAACCATTTTATTGTAAGCATGGATGTATGGCAAGACCAACCTATAGCATTGCGTACTTCGAAACTCGGTGGAAGTTTGTCAGATCTATTTCAAACTTTCAAAAAGGTTTGCCAAGAGATCTATATTGTTTTCTAAAAATGTCACAATCATATCATTTACTAGGGAGCAATGAGACTATGACCAAATGCTAAATGTTGTCCTTGATCTAGCTCTTTTAATATTGAAGCAATTGTGCTCAACTTTTTGTCGGATACCTAGCAAGTAAAGAAAAGAAGTTCTATTAAAAAGAAGTTATAAAATTTATACAGCATCATGAAAAAAAAATACATAAATTTTTTTACTCTATTGTTCGCACATTTTTGCAAGCGTTTTTTGTCTTGTTTAGCGGTGACGTAAGAAAAATATGTTAAGATATTATCTTAGTTATGTACAAGGAATATTTGGTTTTATCGGTATAAGTAATACATATTAAGAGACTTCGCGAAGTTTTTATCATGATAATAAATGCGAGTAAGCGAGATGATATGTGCAAACGTGAAAAGAAAATACACTGTTATATGAACATAATGTATTTCTCGGCTTTCTAAAGACAGGAAAAATAGAGTATAAAAGTTTGTATTTTTTTTCATGATTCTCTATGAATTTAATAACTGATTTTTAGTAGAACTACTTTTCTTTACTTGTTAGTTATCCGACAAAAAGTTGAGCACAATTGCTTCAATATTAAAAGAGCTAGATCTGGGACAATATTTAACACTTGATCATAGTCTCATTACTCTCTAGAAATGATAAGATTATGAAATGTTCAGAAAACAGTATAGATCTCTTGGCAAACCTTTTTGAAAGTTTGAAATAGATCTGACAAACTTTCACTGAGTTACGAAGCACACAATGATATAGGTCGGTCTCGCCAAATTCCCATACTTACAATAAAGTGGTTCTAGTTCCACAACAACTCAATAAATTCCGATGAAACTTTTGCTATAGGTAGCCAAAGTGAAAAGGTACAAAATGAAATCGACCACAATCTATAAAGTCATAATGTCATATAATCATAATTATCTTTACGTCTCCATGTTTCTCTACATTTTCACTCAGTAACATTAATTGCAATTGTTTAGCTGTCTATCACGGAACAGCTACAATGATAGAAACAGAAATATTTGAAAAAGAAGAATTCGTATCCGTACTATAATCAGTCATAAAGAGAATACATTTAGCACAGTCAAAAAGAAAGAAATTCATTAGCATTTAAAAACATACGTTTATTACAGAAACTATTCTGTCCTACATATAATTTCTAACCTTTTATTAGGATGTTCGTTTTTCACAGATATGTAATACATAGTTTTAAGTATTATTTACTAACTATTTTTGAGCTATTTTTAGACCGGTTGGACACATCTTTGAAGTAAGTCATGTGAACATTTTTTTTAAATGAATGATAAGAATTTTCAGGCTTAGAGGTTTCATTTAGACAGAATATTTTTTTCTCAATTGAACTACAAGTGAAATCATGTGTATTGAACGATCACTACGAAGTTAAAGTAATGCATAAGCAACAATTATTATTTGCTAGATTATTTTTTCTTTAGTTTCTAAACTTTATTAGGATTACAATTAGTTTCGAGAAATCGGCATTAAATTGTCATCTTGCTTAAATAGGAGAGTGCATAAGATTCTCAACAACAGTTTGAATCTATTATTCTCATACCGTAAAAAGAAATGAAAGCAATTTTGAAAATATAGAAATATAAAGGCAGCCATTCAATAAATACTAAATTATGAAAATTTGAAGGAATCTCTTAGAGATTCAAATCGTCATTTTGCTACACTTATTGCACGATCATTATCTGATTATAGTAACTACTTCACTCTAGAATCAAATTAATTCTCTTCCGAAAACTTTGTGTTTACCTACACATGTCATCAAAATCACGACAATTTTGGTGATAAATCGTGATGTTTCTAAAACAAGTGTGTGACTCATATAAATAAAAAAATTAATAGAATTCATTATTTTCTTGAAATTTGAAGTACTTTCTCATTAGTTTTTGTCAAAATATTTTCAAAAGCTTCATATGAAAATTATTGAGAGAAAATTTAGAATAGACATTCAGTAGTTGTTTGATTTCAACCCATTAAACAAGTATAATCTTTGTCATCTGTTCTATATTTTGTTTATAGTGTACATTATTTTATTGTATCTAAAAAGGTCTATTGTAGTTATATATTCTGTTGTGCGTTAAAGCACGGTTTTCGCCATGTCTACTCAAAATTTTTCCAAACACGTTTGTGCAATTTCTTATGAATACCCGTACATTTATTATATGATAAATAATTGAATGAATATTCTATGTTTATAATAAAGATAGATATTGTTTGCAGAATCAGATTTTAAAAAGATGAATTTTTCTCAAGTGATTTATTCGAATTACATATTATAATAGAGTTTGTTTTTTGTGTACTTAGAAAGCAAGTACACTATACAATCGGTCAGTGTGTCTGGCCGGCCGTTTACACGGTAACTTTCGAAAGAAGAGTCAGATCATGATGAAATTTTCTACGCACTTCAATCTCATTAATATCTCAGTTGAGTTCGAAAGTAAGCCTGATTGAAGGAGTCCTTCTGAGATTATTGCAATAATACTGTTTTTTTCTCATGATTTACTATGGGCAGATAGATATGTTGTCGTTTTCGTAAGAAACTTTTCTATCAGAGTCGAATAAAATCTAGCTTTTTATACACCATTTATAGAGAATTTAACGAGCTACAAATTGGTATATAATATATAAAGAAATAAGAAGGCTGAGTCACCTATACCGCTAACATAATTATGCGGAAAGCAGTTCCAATGTTGTTATCAACGGTCTTACTGGCCCATTATTAGATCTCTATTTTCGGATTACACATATGCCATTTGGAGCCTTTCTGTTGCAGAGAACTCGAATCTGTACTCTGTCTGCCTCAAAACT